CACTGGAATAGTGAAAATGGAGGAAACAATGAAGAAAGGTATTTATTGAAATTTTACATGTGCTAAAATATATTTAATTTTTTTTTCTTAAATTGATTTTAAAGTAATTAGGGCAAATGTGTGCAAGGTATCTCTAATATAAGTTTACATAAATGAATTTTTTTTTTTAAATATTAAATATTTGAACAAAAAAAGTAAGGTTTGGTAAAATCTGTAAACTCAAGGTTTTTTAATTTTAGAAAAAAAGAAAAAAATAGTTGTTTTTAACTTGAATAAAATTTCCTTCAGTATTGCCATTAGGCTTATTATTTGCAGTTTTTAATGCTTACGACATAAGCATTAAAAACTGCAAATTATCTTTTTACAACCATCTCGGTCCATTTATTATTATTTTCAGTTTAGAAACTTAACATGAGTATTACTTTATACTTTGCAGTATAAATTTAGCCAATAAATAAAAACAACAATTTTTCAACTCAGTTTGTTTTTAGGACATTTTTTTTTTTGCAATTTTTTTATTTGGGATATTCCACTAATTATTTCAAATCAAAATCACTTAATTCACTGGTTTTATTAGTGAAATTAAATTGGTTTCCAAAAAAATCTTAATTTATTAATGATAAAATTGTAGTAATTTTATGTAAATAAATTAAAATAAATATTTACAGTTTAATTAAAATATAAGCTTTAATTTTTGTTAAAAGTTGTTTCAAATTAAATGTTAAAAATTTAGTTTTGTAATATTTTTAACAAGTTACAATTTTTTAAAAAATATCACAATAAACAAATGCAAAATACAAAAGATAAAACCAAAACATTGCAGTTTCATAATTTTATGTTAAAAAAGAGCTACTGAAGTTATTTTTTACCCATATTTTATCATCACTAATATGGCAACTATAGTTAAGCATAGTTTAAAATAGACCCCCTGTCAGATACGATGTTTGCACATTGGCAAAGCCTAGAGTATAGATTGCCAAGCAAATAAAACCTGTTGCATTTCATAGTTCGATTTTATGTTTATAATACTTTTGTTTTACGCGTATTTATAATACTTTTTATAATTAATTTTTTAGATTGAAGAAAAGTACTCCAAATGATCCTAATAGTAAGTGTTAAAACTTTATTAAAATATTTTTACTCCAATATTTTAGCACTTGAGTTTTTTTTTTTTTTTTTTTTTTTTTTTGTAATAATAATTAACATCTATTGAGAATTCGTTGACAAAGCAATATATAGACAGGTTTATTATAGTTTTTTAAGTAATAATAATGTTCATTAGTTGGATGAAAATAATATATATGCTACTGCAGATTTAGTATGACATTGTACTAACAGGAGCTGTCCAAATTAACTTTGACACCATTTTTCAAGTTAAGTTTGATTGTCCAAATTATTTCCTAGTTTTATTACCCAAATTAATCTGCATAAAAGCTTCAGTCAACTCATTATGTCTTCAGAAAGGGGTTATGAACCATAACATTAAATCACAGACTCTTCAAGAATGTTTACAATGTTTCAATCATGGTTAAGAGATTATGTTGTGGAGGTTGTGGTTATACTTGTCAAAAAATTATGTATTTGCTTATGTCTTGTTAGACCACTTGTTAGACCATAGGCTGCTCTGTTAATGTTGGTTTGTAATTAGTGGAGTTCAGATGGATATTTGATAATTGTGATAAATTTAATGTTGTTAGCAAAAAGTGACCAATTAGATCAGACTAATCATTAAACCTTGAAGCACACCACAGGATATTTGATTCAGAGTTTCTAAGGGCATTTTTATGCTTGCTTAGGCTATCATTAAAAAAGGAACATATTTATCCACTAGCAAATGTACTCATCCAAATTACATTAGTGAATTTTGTGAAATTCATGAGTATATACTCAAATTCTGTGAAATTCATGAGTATATACTCATGAGTTTTGTGAAATTAATTAGTATAATTTGCATGAGTTTATTTAGTAAATTAAAAACAAATTTAGTTTATTAGGAAACTTTGCACCATTTGCAGTAATATGGCTAAATCATTCATTGATTTAAATCAACTTATACATATAATCACCTCCCATATGATGATATGCCACAAAAGTCAAGGAGGCTATTCTTTTTTTATTGTTATATTTAATATTATAAGTCCTTAATTTGCAATATTGATTTCTGAGTAAATGCTAAAAATCTTTATTTTAATTTGTGGTGAATTAATATTTTAAAAATATTTATTTTAATTTATAGTGAATTTCAACATTTTGGAGAGAAGTGAAGAAAAGATTGGTTAATACTTAAATTTGATATTGTTGTTTGGTTAAATTACTTATTTATGTTATTTGTATTTTTATGTTTTTTTGGTAATACAACAATCATAAAAAAGTTTTACTTTAAGTGTCTAACTCCTTAGGGATTCAAAGATATTGGTACTCTTTCCCAATCCTTTTTTTTACATTCGTTTTTTAAGATCATTGTGTTACATATTTAACTTCTGTAATTGTTGTTCAATAATAGTGAATATTTATGTCACTAGTTTTTAGGATATAAAATTTTAAAAATGTTGCCAAAGACACTTCCAAATCAAAGTTTCTGCATAAAAGGTTTGTCTTAAAATGACCTTAGCTAGGTCTTTTTAGAGATTCTTGACAACTTTTTTAATTTACTTGACTTGATTTAAAAAATTTATTCTATTAACTCTTTCACACCGAAACGGGTCGTTGATGACCTTGTAGGAATAAATCAATAAATAAAGGGTTTTTCTTGCATTATTCAAAACTACTTGATTTTATGATTTTTAAAGCCAAACATAAAGGATCACTTTATGTTTGGCTTTAAAACTTGCCATGATAAACTAACTATGAAGCTCTGTAATAGAAATAAGTTGACAGTTTTTTTAGAGTGTTTGATTTTTGATATGAATCTTTTTTTCAAAAAAGTCACATGATATTAATGTCACCATTAATCATATTTTAATGATTTTTTAAAAAGATATGTCTCAGGCTTGGTCGGGAAGCGGGTGCGATCGCACTCTATAACTGACCACGGAAATAATATTTTAAAAAACCGGCCAGATTTTTTAGTCGTTTTGAGAACATTTAAGTTTATCTATGTTTCCTTGTTTGTCCGCAAAATAATAAGTTTATTTTATCGTAAACTTTAAAATCTTTTGTTTTACGGACTTACATGGAAACATACATAAACTTGAATGTTCTCAAGCATCTTACTGCGGAAAAATAAAAAAATAAAATTTGCGAACACAAAAAACCCGCCAAATCTACGAACAACTAATTTTATTGGTTCAAAAAATACTAACCGAAATTTCTAGAGTATTTAAAAAAATACTAACCGAATGTTCTGAGTATTCTGTTGAAGTATTTTTAAAAATTGTATTTCTTAAATTTTGTTGCGTTGTTGTTGAGATTTCTAGCATAAATTATTTTAAGAATATCCTATCAAACGAACTACTATTTTAATTCTTGGAGCCACATCTACAAAGCTATTAATGTTTTAAACTAACATTATTTGGTTACAATAATAAATGTTTTAAATTTATATTTTTTAACTTGTTAAAGCTTTGTAAATATAAGTATATTCTTATTTTTTATATATAAGAGATGTATTTTTCATGTATGTGTAATGTATTTTTATGTATGTAATGTATTTTTATTTATGTTATTTTATGTATGTGTATTTTATTCAAATGTAAACGAAAATATTTTCAATAATAACTGCGTTTTTAATGTAATTATTAATAATTGTCAAAATTAATACAGAAAATTTAAACCACTAGTCCATTTTCCTCAGTGTACCCGATAACTGATTCTTTCTCCCAAAAATGAAAAGTTTTTAAGTTCTTAGAAATTGGTTTACTAACTTCAATTATTTTTGCTTCAGCCATTCTTACAAACTCGTTATACTTAAAGTTACTTTTTCTGTTTTAAATACTAATTAAAATTATAAAGCCCATTTACTAAACATCACCAGCGGTATTTGAAGCAGTTCCGCTTCCTCCTCACAAATTAATTTAACTTTTTTTGTTAATTTTTATCTAGCTAATTGAATTTCTACAGTAACTCAATGATATAATTATTTCATTTGTTTATCTTATTAAGAAGAATTGTTTCAAATGTGTTGAACTTTTTAAACTACGCGAAGCATAAAATAGTTATTGAAAAAACGTTTTTATTTATAAATAAATCATCTGGTTGCTGATATATATAAATAAATTAGCCGGGTGCTGCATTATTTTAGCGGCCATTTTATGTGCCACAGCTTAAAAATGACTAAAAAAAATACCGATCGGTCCTCCTGACTATTTCCCCTAAGACTGTGAGTCCCGGGACTATAGCCCTAATACTCCCACCTCACCTTCTCAATCCAGCACTGGAAATAAGACATAAGTATATAAATAAAAATTATATATACTCTTTGATAAATCGAAGAACATTTGTTTCTTTATAGTTGTTACTTTAGATAAAAAATGTCGCTTAATTTTATAAAAAAAGTTATAAAAGAGCGACGTTTCAAAAATAATTGCTTTAATAAATTTATTTTGCTTAAAGTTTATTAGCCTTAAAAGCTATTTTTCTTTTTTTAACTGTCTCTCATCGGTCCAGTTAATCTAAATGCGCTTTTTTGTGTTTTTTTGAAATGTTTTCAAAACGACTAAAAAATCTGGCCTGCTTTTCGCAACTAAATAATATTTCCGTGGTCATTTATCGAGTGCGATCGCACCCGCTTTCCGACCAAGCCTGATGTCTATGTATTTATCTTTTAAAAAGTATATAGTTTTGGGTGCAAATATGATGCACCCAAATATTTTTAGTGATTAGTGATGTACCAATTGCACATTAGTGGCCAATACCGATGGCGATGGATAGGAAAAGTCCGATGTTGATACCAATTGATTAATTAATTAATAAAATTAATTAATTAATAAAATTTTTGAAAATAGAAAACCATCCAATTTTAAATTGTGTAAACTTTTTTATGGAATCAAAACTGGTAAACAAATACTTGGACCCAAATTAGAGCCAAACCTTTATTTTAAAAGATATTTGTAAAGCTTAGTTAAAATAATATCCATTTTTTTAGTTTTTTTAACTATGAAAAGAAAACATTCAAAGAATAAAGAGGAACGCTTTTCATTTCAATTTTAAAAAGAAAATGGTATTAAGATAATCAGTTTACTTAAAATTTTTAACTCTTTTTATAAAAACAATAAAAAAACTTCCTAACATGAAATATATACATTTTGTCAAAATAAAATAAAGACTTCAAAATTAAATACTAAGAAAAAATAACTTCAACTTTTTAAAAAAAGCACAAATAGCAGTTGTAACAATGTTTAGTATTTAAAATTGTGTATACAAATATTGTAATGTAAAAATGTAAGCATTTCTCCTGTTTCCAGAGCCAACCTATTTCATTGTGGAGAAGAAATTTTTCCTCCACAACTGAACAATTGTTCACTTTCAACAGAAGATGGAGGGCATGACAAAATAAAACAACGCAAAATTAAATTATTCTAAAAACAACCTTACGGTAATAAAAGTATAAGAACATTCAGCTGTTAAATTAAAGTTTATAACACATCGTCCTAAGAATAAACAAACTTGCCTGTAAACAAAATTAATATAAACAATTTCTCAAAAAATTCTAAGTAATGCATAAAGTTTAGTTAATTTATTATTTAATTATTATCATAATGCCATCAGTTGGAAAACTGGTAAGTAAAAAAGGCTGATGCTTAAACTAATTCTGATTGTGCAAGTAGCTGATTAAGCCGATTTCAATGCCAATTAGTTGGTACATCACTAATTTTTATATATATATATATTTATTCATAAAAAAGACAAATTTTTTAATTTTCAAAACCATTTTGTTAATTAAAAACAATATATGTTTTGACTAACACTAAATATCTTCTACAGTGTGTTTTGTCTTTAGCAGGTTCATCTGGAAGCCTCCTGATAAATCTGTTGAATGAGAAACAAACTGAAGAAGAAATTTAGATTTTTTTTAAGTGTTTTTACTCATTTATATATATATATATATATATATATATAGTGTGTGTGTGTGTCTATATATATATATATTATATATATATATATATATATATATATATATATATATATATATATATATATATATATATATATATATATATATATATAAAATTTGATTCTTTTGTTCAAATCCAAATTTTTTTTGATTAAAACTAATTAATAAATGTATGCCAAGAAAAACAAAAATCTTGTTGTTTTAGTCGAAGCTTGTCTTCTCTATTTTCTGCAGTATTAGTAGTCTTTAAAATAAATGTGATATTCCAGGCATATTATACAGACTTGATAATTTATTCAAGTGCGTTTAATTCATTGGAGTTTTAGTACATGGCGTCATAGATTTTTGGTTTGTTTGTTTAAAACAGATTATTATTTTTTACATACAATTTCCAAATCATATTCATTTTTATTATATTTTAAAGTTCTAAAATGTGTTTGTAAAAAAATTAAAAACAAAATAGTTTTTTATTTGCGCAACTTTTTTCAAATAATCGTCTGGACCACATGTATTTTGATTTCTTTTGTTATATGTTTTTCTATTAAAATATTAGATAAAATAATTTTTAACCTAAAATAATAAAGCACTTTTATCAATTTACTTTGTAAATATTTAAAAAAAAAAACATTTTTTCTTTGATTTTTAAAAATGTATTTTTTGGTATTGAGGTGATCTTATTTCATTATTTATATTTCCATTATTTATATTTCCATTATTAAAACATCCAATATATATTATGGCAGGGGTTTAAAAATTAAAAAAATAATATATATTAATTTTTGTTTTACGGACATACATAGAAACATAATTAACTTAAATGTTCTTAAAACATCTTGCGAAAGAATGAAAAAAATATTCGCGAACACTAAAAACCCGCTAAATTTACAAACAAACTAATTCTATTGGTTCAAAAAATATGCTGACTAAGCAAAATAAAGTTCTAGAGTATCCTTTTCAAATGTTTTAGCAATTGTATTATTCACGATTAGTTGCGATATCTAGCATAAATTGTTTTAAGAATATATTATCAAATGAACTATTACTTTAATATTATGGCTCATTCTCGGAGCCACATCTGCAAAGCTGTAAAACTTTTTAACTTTTATCATTTTACAAAAATAAATGTTTTATAATATATATTTTTGAAATTGTCAAAATTTTGAAAGTTAATTACAAATTATATATTTTATTTGTATATTCTTATTTTTTATATCTCTTCCTAGCGCTTGATTTAATTAATTGTTCGTTAGATTTGTCGAAACAACTTGCATCAAAATTTAAGGAACACACTTGTGAATTAGAGATATTATATAACCCGATTTGGCGCCATAAGGGTCCCTAGGTCCACCATCGCCGTGGCCCATGTAGCCACGGCTCTGATAGCTACAAAAAAACAAAATATTTTTCAATTTGAAGATTTTAGAATATAAAATAACTAGCTATAGTTATATAATAGTAAAATCTTTAAAGAATTTCTAGAATGTTTCCAATGACGTCATGTATTAAAACTCCTATGAACTAAACGCACTTGAATAAATTGTTAAGTCTGTATAATGCGCCTGGAAAATTGCATTTATTTTAAAGACTCCAAATACTGCTGAAAATGGAGAAAACAAGCTTCGACTGAAACAACAAGATTTGTTTTTCTTGGTATACATTTGTTAATTAGTTTTAATAAAAAAAATTTGCTCAGACGTTTTTTTTTAACGTTCTCTTTAATATGAATACAACATGTCTCAGGACTTGGTGGTCCCTTTAAAGTCCGCAAAATTTTTTTTTTTTTTTATTATTTGATAGACTGCCTGCCCAAACTAAACCTTTAGTTGATGTAGCAACACTCTGCTTAATTTTTTTTTGTTTCTTGAAAGTAGAAACATTCTATTGCAAGAATTAAACCAGTGAAAATGTTAAAATTAAATTATAAAAAATTTAAATAAAAAATATTATTTTACTTCTTTTCAAGGAAAATTTTTTTCCAAAGACATTAAATTTGACAAAAATTTGACATTGAATTTGACAAAGACATTAAATTTGACAACTTAAAAGACATATACTTAAACTTGACAAAATATTTATTTTATAATAGTTTATTAAATGGCAGGATTGAACAGTCTTTTATTTCAAAAGCAATGACCTTTATAAACTAAAATAAAAAACGTTTAGAAGACGTATAAAGACCTATTTAATTTCAGGTAAAGATATTACATGTGGAATAATAGCTTTTTTGGTATAGCTATTGAAACTTGTGTAATATTTTGGTTTTTACTTTTACTTTTTTAAGTATCATGTTAAGTAAAAGCAATTACTGTAGGTAATGTTGCAATTAATTGTGTAACGAACAAGTAATTACTTGCTTATTACACAATAACTGCAACTTAAACTTTAAACTATAACTAAAGCTGTATTTTTATAACAGTAATTTACGCTATTTTAAACTCTGCCAAACAAGAAAATTATAAGATAATACTTATAATTTTCTCATTTGGCAGAAAAAAATACACAAATGTTACAAATTGTTCATTCATCTCTCGGCATATATATATATATATATATATATATATATATATATATATATATATATATATATATATATATATATATATATATATATATGCCGTAAGTATGATTTTTAAGTATCACTTTGTTGGTGTTTACCTTTTTTTTTATTATTATCCCATTTTTTTTTATTATTGTGTTTGGCTTTGGGGGCCATCCATAAAGGAAGTCATCCAAATGTCAGAAAAGGACGTTGTCAGAAAAGGACGTCACTATATAGATTTTTTATTTTAGTTTAATTAACATGGAAAAATGGTTTAAAAATAGATTTGAAAAATGAATGCAAATTGAAATGTCTATAAAGGAATTTAGAATTCTAAAAATTTAGTGTATTAAAAATAAGTATTTACAACAAATTATATTATTATAACAAAAAAGAGATTATTAGTTTTATTGTATCCTTGAAAATCTTCCTACAATTTCATTAAACTGCAATAAACAACCATGGCTCTTAATTTCTCACGGTGATTAAGGTTTTAATGCGCTGCGTTAGACGTTTGTTCTGATGTAACACTGAACGATTTTAAGTTCACTTTTAGCAGTTTTTATCTCATTTCAACTTCCTAAATAGTATAAGTTAAAAAATAACTAGAATTGAAGACTTAATAATATCTTGAATTGAAAACTAAAAAAGAGCATTAAAATCATCCTAAAAGCATTTTGTTTTTAAGTATTTTTTCAATTTATCAAAATCTATCTCATTTTGTGTTTTTATGTTTTTCAATAAATATATTTGATTTTGTGTTGAAGTTCTTTTTCAGTTTGTTGAAATATTTTTGTTTATTTTTATGTAGCACACCTCAAAAATGTAACAAAAGAATCAAATTGGGTCACTTTAAACATTGCTGAAAAAAGAAAATATCAGTTTTTATTAGAAAGATCACTTTCAACTTTAACTGATTCAGAAAAAAACATTTCTAATGCTGGTGTAAGAAAAATATTTTTTTATCCTGATTTAAATATTTTCAAAAATTTAATTTCAAAAAGTTTTTTTTAGCATCCTATTTTTTTAAAACTTAAAAAAATAATTAAATTTTTTTTTTTTTTTTGCTTTATATTTGTTTTCCTTTTTGATTTTGATTTCTGCTTCTAAAAAATTCTCTAATAGTTTGCAGATAACGTTCTACATTTTTATTCTGATTCTTCTATAAGCATATATTATATTTTTATTTTCTCTGCTAAAATTAAACTGAATTTTTTGTTTGATTGTTTTTCTGCTTAATACTTAACATAATCATCAACTCAATCAAAGCATTTTTTGATAAAACTGTTTTGATTTTCAATCAAAACAGTTTTATATTTATAAATATATAAATTTAGCTAGTACAGGGTGTCTGCCATATCAGGGAAAACAGGGAAAAGTCAGGGAATTCAGATACCTGCAAAAAAAATCAGGGGATAATCAGAGAAATTAGGTTAAATTTAAGAAAAATCATGGAGAAATCAGGGAAAATAGCTCTTCTTCAAAATTGTACAACTTAAATAAGTTATATATGGTATACATAATATAAAAGTTTATTTGGAAGATAGTTTTATGAACTTCTCTTGTTACATTTAATATGGGTTGTATTATTGTTCATATTTTTGCAGTTGAAGAGCATTTTTCTAAACAAATCTAGGTCAATTTTTGTGATGTTGAGTTTGAGTAACTTTAAATTAAATCAGGGAAAACAGGTAGAAGATGTGGGAAATATCAGGGAAAAGTCAGGAAAATCCACCTTAAAATATTGGCAGACACCCTGTAGTACTAAAGTGTTTCATAATCATATATTTTATAAGATTCTTAATGATACTCCAACTATTTGAAAACAACTTTTTTTTAAAGAGCTTTCTGAATTTTTACATGCTTCTGTAATTTTCTTTACTTCTTTTACTCACTGTGGTTATTCTCTTTTATTAATAGTTTGAGGCAAAAATAATTTTTATTCTACATCATATTTCAAACTTAATATTTCACTAGTTATTCTGTTAAAAAAAAAATCTATGCTTAATAAATCTTTCCAAAATATTTGGTAATTCAATACAACTCAATTTTACTTTGCTAACAATTCAACTTCAATTTAACTTTGCTAAACCTTAGAAATATGAAATATGTTATTTATATTTATTTTTTAACATTATTTTTTTTTTTTTTTGAAATATTATAAATAGAAAAAAATTTATTTTGAAAATTGTCTTTTTTTCTTTTATCTAAGTCAGCCAAAATTGCAAAGTTGCAACAATTTTTTTTCCTGAAAATCTACCACGTTGTTTAACAAAATTTTTTTCGATACCTTTTGATAACATCTTTTTTACTAGTTCATAATTTTGATTGGGTACCTATTCCTATAACTTTATTAACAGCTGTTGTTATACTTTGAATAAATTTATATTATAAAACAGTTATTCAGATATTCCAATTATTAAAAAGTCATATGATTCAATCACTGATCCATTAATGACTATATTCAAATAATGTCTAGAATCAGACAATATTCCATATGAATTTAAAAGTAGTATCATGCCACATCATAAACAATAAGGTAAAATTCATGATATCAATAGTTATCCAAGTATTATTATAATTTCTCCACTAACAAAAGTATTACCATAGTATCTCCACTAACAAAAGTGTTTGAATGAATAATTGCTAAAAGTGCAATCATTCATGAAAATGCATTCTTATCTCTAAAATAAAGCTAAGCAACTCTTAAAAACTATTTACATTATCAATATTTATCAGTTTCAGAAAAGCTTTTGACTTGGTAGATTCCAAATAACTGGTTTTAAAGCTAAAGCATTGTGGTTTTTCAACTGATGCTTTGAACTTAATAAGCAACTATTTGCATAATAAAAAGTATTTACAAAAGTTAAAGATGCATATTCTAATGAAGAACAACTTAATATTGGTATACCACAGGGTTCCATTTTAGGTCCTTCTTTTTTTTTTGATTTTCATTAATGATCTACCTGAATATCTTATTTGCAGATGACCATCTAGTAACAAAGACTCAGTCATCAAATGCATATAAAAATTATTCTCAATAACTAATATATTTAGTCTAGCCTTAAAAGTTTGTTTGCAATTTTTCAAAACATTCATTCTACCTAACCTTGATTGCTGCTTAAGTCTTATAATTTACTACATGAAAGAAATACAAAGCCTTAGCAATGCATAATATATGATTTTATTTTTACTACTCAAAATTAATATTTAAAAAATATATATATTTCAAATCAATCAAAAACTTAAAGCATACAACCTACAAAGTTTTTATCATCAATTTTTATGCAGAGCGCTAAAACTATGCAATAAAATAGTTAATTACAAGAAACTGATGAAATTATTCAAACAATTTGATTTTATTAACCTTGATAACATCAATACTAGAAATAAAAATATTTTAAATGTCCAAGTGTCCGACAAACATGATGTCATTAAAGTCTTTTTTCAGTAATCAATAAGCATTTCAATGACAATATCAAATTTAGTGACTAAACAACATCAACTCAATTATAGCACATAGAATTATCAACAACATTAGGTTTGATGTCAATATAAACAGTATAAATAACTATATTGACTTTTATGTAAGAGAAAAAGTTAGAAAAAAAGAGACTAAACATTATTTACATTTTTTAAGATCTTTTATTTTGTATTTACAATAATTTATTTAACGATGTGTATCCTATATTAAAAACACTTTCACCAGCAATTGTAAAAGATATAGTCTATAAAATAAAAGTAAAGAAAAAAGTGTGTATATATATATATATATATATATATATATTTTATATATATATATATGTATATATATATATATATATATATATATATATATATATATATATATATATATATATATATATATATATATATATATATATATATATATATATATATATATATATATATATATATATATATATAGATATATATATATATATATATATATATATATATATATATATATATATATATATATATATATATATATATATATATATATATATATATATATATATATATATATATATATATATATATATATATAGATATATATATAGATATATATATATATATATAGATAGATAGATAGGCTTTCACAGGAAGACGTGCGATTTCACGTCTTTATATGACCACGCAAAAAAAAATGTTTTTACGATTTGACCACAGCATATTTTTAAATTTTAAAAATGCGCTACAAAAACTTACGTAAACTTATCTGAAAAAAAAATTTAAAAAAATAATAAATATTAACGAAAGAGAAAATAAAAAAAATACTTAGTTAAAGCAAAAACACAAAAAAATAAATATATATATAACGCAACTAAAACAAAACTCATCAAACTAAAATGCTTAGTCTATTTAATTTATGGATTAAAAAACCTTTTCAATCTTTGTTTCAACATTTTTATATATTTTTTATTTATTTAATATGTTCAAAAGTTAAATATTTCTCATAAAAAAATACATAGTTATATAAATAAAATAAAAAAAAATTTTATAAATACTTTTTTTTAAATTAATTAGAAGTGTTATTTTTTTACGTCATTAAAAGCGTTTAGATAATATAAAAGCATTTAAGATCAAACTTATAAAATTTTAACGGTTTTCTAAAACTTTATTTTTTAACGAAATTTTGTTTATCATAGTTGTAGAATCTCATCGTTTATAAAAACAAAACAATTTTTTATTTTTTAATAAGATTTATTTTAGAAATGAACACTTAAACAATTTATGTTTTAAACTAAAAAAATATATACAACTGTCAATTATATTTAAAAAACAAAACTTTTTTTCAGTAAATTGTTACTTTAATTAAAATTGTTTTGCTAATATAAAAACATTTGTTAAGTTTTGATGTAATTAATTTTATTTTTTTATAATTTTATATATAAAATTTTTATCATTAAATAAATTTTGAATAAATTTATATTCTAAAATTGCATTAAACCAGTGTATTATAACCTTATAACATTGTTGGAAAAAATTAAAATGTTGGCCATAAGTAAAATGTTGTTGGCGATATTTAAAAAAAACTTGAAATCAAAAGCTTCAGATGAGTTACTGATGTGGCTTACCAACTTTGATTGAATAGAATGTTAGTTTTATTAGCTTTTGTTGCTATATGTTAAGAATTATTTTAAATAAGCAACAAGATTACATATAATATGATTTAAAATAAAAATAACAATAAAATATAATGAGTTAAATCAAAAATATTTTTTTTTTTTTGTTATTATTTTTAGCTGCCCCAAGAAGACCTAACGGTCTTTTCACAGAGCACCGCAGAAGTGCATTTAATCAGGAAGTTCATGCCTCCTTCCTTACAGTGATGGGAAAATATGTCCAGAGCTCGTTTCAAACCTGGATCTCATGCTTATAAAGCAGGCGTTCTAACCACTGCGCCACGGCCGCACTAATAAACAAATGAGATACCACAATGCTAAACGCACAATAAAATATATATAATGCTAAATCGGCAATAAAATATATATAATGAGATTTAAAATAAAAATAACAATAAAATATATATAATAAGAGTTAAAATTGAATTTAGACTTAAAATAGAATAATAATAAATAGAATTATAATAAATAGACTCATAATAAAACTAAAAAATAAAAATAAAATTAAAAGTTTTAATAATAAATAAAAAATAAAATGACAATGTAATAAGCGCAATGAAAAATCTAAACTAGAGATGACATCAATTAAAAAAATAGAATTCTCTGTAACTTTTGAATTTGTCCAGAGGCAGTAGAAGATAGCAGAAGGCATCAAAAATCTATAGCAACTGTTATGTCTTTAAATATATATAAAAATCTATAGCAGCTGTAGGTTGTTATGTTGCTTTGTTGAATGTGGTTGATAAATACTGTGCATTTATTTCCTTTAATTCTGGAGTTTATGGCTCATCGCTGATTTGATGTGTGATTATAAGT